CAGGCGACGGGCAGGAGGGGGCGGAGGGAGAACCGGGAGCCTGGGCCCCAGACCCCAGGGGCCAGGGCCGGGCGGGAACGGCCACGTGGGATTCTGGGCTCCGTCTGACTCAGCACTGCCATCTCGTCCACTGCGCCCATCGGGACGTGGCACACGCCTGTCACCAGGGCTCCGAGGGGCACACACGTGCTGTGAGGAGGGGGCCTTCGGGGTGGGGGCAGGGTGTGCCAGGGCCAGCTCCACCGCCCACACGGCCGGCACGTGGGCACAGCCGGGCTCCGGGCAAAGGCTCCCTCCCCAGAGCCACGGAGGAGAAAAGGCCGGAGGGCGGGGAGTGGCGCCGGCCAGAAGCCGGACGAGGTTCCCTGGGTGCGGGCTGTGGCCCCGGGGCGGGCGAGGGGCCCTCCCAGCCCACAGGTCTGCACCCTCCGCCCACTCTGCTCACTCCCTCTGGGCGACCGGTCCACCGAGCCAGCCTCTGGCGTGCCCGCCAGGCCGGGCGCCTGCCTCCTGCAGAGATGACCCCTGGCTGCCTGCGCCACGCGGCCCGGGGGCCGGGAGCCTGTGGCCCGCCGGGAGGGCGAGGGCGAGGCCTCGGCGGGAGCGGACGGCGCCCAGTGGGTGAGCCCTGCATGCCCCTCGGGCTGGTCAGGAAGGACAGCCTTCAGGGTGGCCGAGAGGGCCTGGGCGTGGGGGCCGGCGAGCGGCGGACGCATTCTTTCCACAGATGCTTCCCGCTCCCACGTTCCAGGCTGCACCCTTGGGCCCCCGGGAGGCCTCCTCGGCCCCCTCCCCGCCCGGCCTGGCCTTTCCTGGCCCGGACCCTCTCCTCAAGGCCCGCTCCCCGTCCTGGAAGCGATTTTGTTGTCTGCGAGCATGTGGAGCGCCTGAGTTATGGCCTCCGGGGCACGCAGCCCGGTTCCTAGCGCCTGGCGCACGCCCACGTCTTGAGTAATTGTGGGGGGCGGGGGGCGGGGGGCGCAGCGGCTCTCCGAGGGGCCCCTTGTCCCGTCGGCTGTGCCGGAGCCGCAGCCCGCAGCTGAGACCTGGGAGGAGAGAGGGCCGGCCCCTGGGCCACGGGGCAGTGGACCCCGGGCCTGGGGCAGCTTACCCTGCGGGCCCCGCGCCCCAGCCCCCGGGCTGCCTGGCAGGGAGCGGCCTCGCCGGGCATCGGAGCCGGGCCGGGCCGGCAGCGCCGCTTGGCAGCGCCGATGGAAACCGCCGTGCGGTTACGCAGACCGGCACGGAAACCGGAGAGCCGCGTGCCGAGCGCGCCAGGCACCCCCCGCCCGCCCTGCCGGTCCCCCGGGAGGGGGTGCAGCCCAGCGCCCCCCCCATGGAAATGGCTCTGGCCGCAGCCCAGCCTGCCACCCCGGCCCCGGGGAGCAGAGCCGGGTGCAGGTGGCTGGGGGGTCCCCCGGGCGCCCCTCCGCTCAGGGCCAGCCCTGCCTCCTCCAGGGACCCGCGCCTCAGGGGCGGGAGCACTACTGTGCGCCTGGAGCGGCGCCAGGCCCGGCCACCAGCCCCTTCCTCAGGAAGCGCAGGCAGAGCCGGCGCGGAGCCAGGCGGGGGCGGGGGGGCGGTGCTGAGACTCAGACGGGGAAGGGCTGGCGGGTGAGAGGAGCCGTGGCGAACGGGGTCCCCGAGGAGGTGACGTGGGAGCAGAGCCCGCAGGGACGGGACGGAGGGAGGGCGGCCGGCCCCTGGCCCCCGTGCCCCGCCGGCCCGCCCAGAGGGCCGAGCTCCTGTGCCAGCGCACACGGGCGGGGCGAGGGTCCGAGGAGGCCAGGCGGGGCACAGGCACGTGGTGGGCTGCTCTCCTCTGGCTTCTCTCCGTGGCTGTCTCTCCCTCCCCCCCGCCCCGCACTGAGACCACGGCCACGTCCCCACGGGCCTCCCTCCTGCTCGCCACAGATGCCGCCGTACCACGGGCCCGCTTTGAGGTCCGGCCCGAGCGGACCCGGTCCGGGCTCTGAGCCGGTGCCGTCAGTGTCGCCGGGTCAGGAGGATTGTGCCCCCTCCCCGGGGCTCCAGCCGAGGGGCACGCTCAGCGCCGGGGTGTCGGAACGCGGCCCCGCCCCCGGCCTCCCTGCGTCTCACCGGCTGCAGCACAGGCCCTGCCCTGGCCGTGTGGCTGCTCCCGAGGCCGCCGCGGGAGGAGGGAGAGGGCTGCACAGAGGTTAAGCTGCCCCCCTTACCTCCACTGACCAGACTGGAACGCGCCCCCACCTCACCACAAGGGCCCCTGGGAAACGGGCTCCCTCCGGCCCCTGCGCCTGGCCAGGTCCAGGCCCTGAGGGCCGTGAGCCCCTTTGCCACGAGCTGGGGGCCGGGAGAACGGACTCCGGCAGAACCTGTGCGTGAGCGGCGGACGCTGCCATTCGGGAGGGGGGGGGGATGCGGCCGGGAGATAGGAGGCGTCAGGTCCAGATGCTTCCGAGACACCAGCATGTGGGTGTGGTGAGGGCAGCAGCAGAGGGAGCCCCCCTTCAGGGAGCAAAAGCAGAGACAACCCCCACAGGGTGGCCAGTGGACAAAGGGCCATGGCGGGCCGCAGGGGAGACCTGAGCGGTGTGGGCGCTGGCGCCGACAGCCTTGGGCAGGGAGGCGAGGCCGCCCTACGGACATCAGGGCGGTCGGGAGAGAAGAGGGGGGCTGCGAGGCCAGGTAACTGGGGCCCTGGGGGCCGGGGGCAGAAGCCCAGGGGCAGAGCTGAGAAGCGCGCGTGCACAGCCCCTGGACAACACGGCAAATCCGCCCCCTGTCCGCCCCGCACGCCCGGCCGGGCCCGCGGAGCGCGAGAGACGAGAGGGAAGCCAAACGGTGTTGACAGAGCTCGGAAATGGGGGGCGGAAGGACCGTGGAGACCAGGGAGTGCAGGCGAGAGGCTGGAGGAGGAGGGAGCGAGAGCCCCAGGACAGGACGGCTCCCAGCCCGGACGCTGGGCAGGCCGGGGGACGGAGGGAGCAGCACGCAGCAGAGAAAGGCCTTGGGGCCTCGCAGAGGAGAGAAATCATTTCCAATCCAGACTTCCACACCCAGTCCAACTCTCAGCCCACGGTCCTCCCCTGAGCAGCAGCGGCCCCCAGACGCCCGTACGGTCTGTCCCGGCCCCACCCACGACGGAGGTTCAGTCCCCAGAGGAGCTGAACCTGAGAGATTCCGTACTGGGGACACCAGGAGCAGCTGCGGGTGAGGGATAAGTTTTCGTGATAAAAAACAAAGGGGACTCAGCGAACGCTTTTGGGCTAAACCGTAAGGCCCCTCCCCTCCCCTCGCTCCCTAGAAGCCCCTCATGGGGGCCCGGCCACCCCCCTGTGTCCAGGGAGAAAAGGCGTGAGAGCCACAGGGCGGCCACCAGAGCTTCCACGGGAAGGGGAAGCCAGCGTGCGGGGGAGGCAGCTCCGGGCCTCTGCGCGGGGGAGCATTCCATACCCAGCCCGTGCTCCGTCACGCTGCCCTTTGGAAGCTCCTGGGACACCAGGGAGAGCCTCCAGGAGGAGAAGGCGGGTGGCAGGCACTGGGCTCTCAGCAGGAGGGAGAGGAGCTTGTGATGCTGGACGAGCGTCTGAGAATGAGCTCCCGACAGGTGCATCGAAAGCTCAGCAAAGTCCTGGCCGGTGCGGCTCAGTGGATAGAGCGTCGGCCTGCAGACAGAAGGGTCCCGGGTTCGATTCCGGTCAAGGGCACAGACCTTGGTTGCAGGCACATCCCCAGTGGGGGGCGTGCAGGAGGCAGCTGATGGATGTTTCTAGCTCTCTCTCCCTCTCCTTTTCTCTCTGTAAAAAGTCAATACTATAAATATATACATAAAGGCTCAGCAAACCTAAAGGCGATACATAGCCCGGGGTTGTCCTCGGGCCGCCTCGGCAAACAGTTCCTTAGCGACAGGCAGCGGCGAGATGTTTCCGGAGCGGGAACAGGAGTGGCTGGCCGCGGACTGCACGGCCACGGCTCAGGCCACACACTGGCAGGGGGATCAGCCGCTGAGGAGCCGAGGACAAGGCCGTGTGTGCTGGGCAGAGGCCACCCTGGGCCGTTGGGGGGGCAGCAGGCAGCCCCTGGGCCGTTGGGGGGCAGCAGGCAGCCCCTGGGCCATTGGGGGGACGCCTTGGGGTGGAGCTGGGAGGCGCCACAGGGCTGGACCCACCCGTGTCCCCCACGCCTGCCCCCCAGCAGGGACTGTCACCTCGAGGTGGCCCTGGCCTGCGCCTCTCCAGCCACGCCCAGCAGCCCCACTCCTGCCTGCACCCCACCACAGCCGTCCCCTCCCCCAAGAGCACCCCGCAAACCCTCCACACCCACGTGCACATCTGGGGCCTCAGTAGATGTCCAAGTGCCGTAAAGTGAAAATTTACGAAACCACAGCTCCGTCTGCAAAGCGTTCGGCACGTTAATTGATGCCAAACCAGTCGGCGCTCGGAGCCGGGCCTGCGCGGCTAGGCGGCTGCTGGGCCAGGGAGCCCCGGTGGACCCCTAAGCCGGCCCCCCCACACACACTCAGGCCTCCAGGGCAGGAGCAGGCCGTGGGCTGAGGGGGCAGCCCCGGGGTCTCCCCCACGCCTCCCCCTCACCCCTTCCTGAGCCCATCACTGTCTTCCCAGCATGGGGCCAGGTGGGGCTGTGGGGCTGCGTGGCAAGGCCTTTGGGGGGCGGGGGAGGGCATGGTATAGACCTCAGTTGAGGCCTCCAAACAGTTCTGCCGAGAACGGGGTATGGGGCAGCACTTGGGGGGCTGAGGGCGCGGCCCCTGCTCTGTCTGGGGGAATCGAAGATGAGGCCCTCTGGCCTGGGGACTGGACCCCGGAGGCGTGGCCATCCCCACGGGGCCCGGCGGTCTCACCAGTGCCAGCCAAGGAGGCAGAGCCCACGCCAGCCGCCATGCGTGCGGAGGGAGGGGCGAGGGCGCTGGGCCAGGGGCCCGCACCGTGCACACAGCGCGCCCGGTTCACACACACACGTGGCCGGCACGCACGGCTGACCTCACGCTCTCCCCGCAGATGATGCAGCTGGACCAGCGGCTGGTTCTCATCACGGACCTGCTCCACCAGCTGCTCGCCCTGCACCAGGGCGGCCCCCCGGGCGGCCGGCCCCCCGGCGGCGGGGCCCCCCTGCAGCCCTGCCGGGGCCCCGTCGACCCCCAGCACTTCCTGCCCAGCAACGCCCTGCCCACCTACGAGCAGCTGACCGTGCCCCGCAGGGGCCCCGAGGAGGGGTCCTGAGGGGGTCCTGGGCCTGAAGGGCCCCCAGCCCGCCCGCCTCCCACATGGGCCACCTCCTGGGAGGCCCCAGGGCAGCCCCTCTCTCCCAGGCCCTGGGCACCCGGGGACCACGCTGCCGCCCGGGCCTGGGCTGGGTCCGGCGGAGGCCCGCTTCCTGCCGGCGGGAACTAGCACTTGGCTGGGGACGGGTGACCCTCCACTCGGGGACCGTGGCCCACGTGGCTTTTGTGGTGGTTGGGACCCAGTGGCCGGGGTCAGGCGGCCCTCGGGGCAAGGATGCTGGCATCACTTGCTCCCAGGTATGGCAGGCGACAGGCGGCAGGCCCAGGGCACTTCCCAGGGGGAGGCCAAGGTCAGCCTAGACGGGCCCTGGCAGCCGGGGGCAGGTAGGAGACGGGCAGGGCAGGGCAGGGCGGGCCCAGCCCCTGCCAATCAAAGGATGCCCATGCCCCGCTCAGAGGACCCCCTCCGTGCCCCCCGGGCCTGGGCCCTGGGCCTCGGTCTCTGAGCTGCTGACTGACCGGCCGCGGACTGTGAGGGGCCGGCCCTGTCCCCAGCGCTTCCCGGCGGGATTCCCCGGCGGAATGGGTGACGCCCCCATGACTGGCAGCTTCTCCCGCCCGATCCGGAGAGAAGAGGGGCCGGCTCCTCGGGCGTCCCGGCCCCAGAAATCAGAGTAATTGTGGTGATTGAGTCTGTTTTAATGAGTCTCACAGTGTGATTTTGATTCTCTCTCTGCCGGCTTTTCCTAATAAACGTGGCGGCACCAGGTTGATCTCGGCTTTGCCCTGGCCTCGTTCCTGGGGGGACCCTGCCCTGGGAGCTGCCACCCCCAGAGCCCCTCCCCCCGCGCTGTCCACACCGCCCAGGGGCACTTGAGGCGGGGACCTGCCTGCCCACAGCACTGAGGGAGGGAAGACGGTGGCCAGCGGGGCCCAGGCCCAGCCTCACTCTTGCTGGAATGTTCTTCCCACCCCTCCGCCCGCTTCGTGGGGCCGTGGTCCCAGCCTCCGATAGCTCCTGCGGCCCTCCGGCTGCCCTCCTGGGGGCACGGTGAGCCGGTGGGGGCAGCGCCAGGGACCTGTCTTCTAGGCCCGTGGCCGCCCGCCACCTCCACCCTCACTGCCAGCGCCATGGTCTGGGCGTAGCCGGGAGGGACCTGTGGTGTCTGCTCCTCCCCCTGCCCCTGAGCACCTGGGCCCTCACCCTGTGGGCATCTGGCCCTGCCCCCTGTGGTCATCTGGCCCCTCCCCCTGTGGGCATCTGGGCCCTCCCCCTGTAGGCATCTGGGCCCACCCCCTGTGGGCATCTGGGCCTGCCCCCTGCGGGCATCTGGCCCCTCCCACTGTGGGCATCTGGCCCTGCCCCCTGCGGGCATCTGGCCCCTCCCACTGTGGGCATCTGGGCCCACCCTCTGTGGGCATCTGGACCCGCCCTCTGTGGGCATCTGGGCCCACCCCCTGCGGGCATCTGGCCCCTCCCACTGGGCCCTGCCCCCTGCGGGCATCTGGACCCTCCCCCTGTGGGCATCTGGGCCCTCCCCCTGCGGGCATCTGGCCCTGCCCCCATAGGCATCTGGCCCGGCCTGGCACCCACCGGGGGACTGGGGCAGGCAGTGCAGGGCAGGGGGCCGCTGGGGGAGGGGCGGACACAATTGCTGGAAGGCAGGCTCTCGTTTCCGTGTTGGTAAACAATTGCGGAAACCCCAGGAAGCGGCCGGCTGGGAGCAGGGCCCTCGGAGCCCCGGGCCAGGTGGACGGCAGCCGGGACCCGCCGCCTCGGGCCCCCGGCCGCCCCGGCCCGGCCCGTCTGCCCACCGAGTGCCGAGCTCCTGGCCGGCCTCCCGGGTGTGAAAGCAGTTCACCTGAAATAAAGCCCAATTACGGAGTCAGCTGTTAGTGCCCGGGAGGCGGGCACTGGCGCTCCTGCCCACCCGTGCCCGGCCTGAGCACAGATGGCCCCGGCGCCCGCCCGGCATTCCTTCACTGCGCCCGATCGCTGACTTCGGCTGGGCCAGCCGCGGCCATCTGGTGCGTGACACGGCCTGTGTGCCGCACAATGGCCCGCGGACCTCTCCGGGGAGGCCGTCGCCCGGGCAACCGTGGCGTGTGCGGCCGGCCCCCAGGCCCTCCCCGGCCTTTGTGGCTCCCGGCCGCCCGGCTGCGCACACCGCAGCGTCCACAGCGTTTGTCGGCGCGCCGGCCTTTGTCTCCAAATTGGGCGAGCACCGCGGGGCCCACGGCGCCGAGCATCTGCCGGGCAGGGCGAGGGCTGGCAGCTGCCCGCATCCGGCACCCACGCCCCTGCCCATCCCGCCCCACCGTGTGCCCACCTCGGGGCACTGGCGTGGCCGGGAGCCAGGAGAGGAGGCGCTGTGCGTGAGGGGGCAGGACCAGTGACCCCCGGGAGGAGGGGCCGGGGGAGAAGGGTGTGAACTCAGCGCCGTGCGCGCCCAGAGGGCCTCAGAGGCGTCCGCGCGGCCCGGCGTGCCTCGCCTGGCGCCACCGCTTCCCTGCACCCGCCGGGCCTGCCGACCCTCCATGCGACCTCTCCCCTCTGAGCCCCGGGGCCTGCCCGCGCCCGCGCCCGCCGGGCCGGCCCACAGCATCTCCTGTGCCCGGGTCACACACCGGTCCCGTGGGCCGTCCCGGCCGGACCCTTCCTGGCTCCCCACACCACCTCCCGGGCCACTGCACCCTGGAGCCCGCGGCACCCTCTCAGCCCAGCAGCACCCGCCCAGCTGGGCGGCAGGACCGAGCGCCACTCCCTCTGAGCTGGGCCAGGCCCCGGCCCTTCCACCCCATCCTTCCAGCCCCCCTCCCCGGCCCTTCCAGCACCCCCAACTCCCTGCCAGGCCCCCCTGCCCTGCCAGCTTCCCCCTGCCCTGCCAGGCCCCCCCAACCCTGTCAGCCCCCCCCCCCCTTCCAGGCCCCTGGGCAGCACAGCCTCGGCAACAGCCCGCCCGCCTGGCGACAAATGAGCCGTCCAGCAGGCGACCTCCAACCTCGCTGGCCAGCTGCCGCTGCTTCACCTGCTCGGGGCGGGGCTGCGGCTCCGGCCAGGCCGGGCAGAGGCCACAGCGGCCCGGCCACCTGCCCCTCCAGGCCAAGGCCCTGAGCCCGGCCCTCCCAGACGGCAGGCCCGAGCCGTGGGGGGGGGGGGGGGGGGCTGAGCCCTAGATCCCTTCGTCGGGACTCCATGCCTGATTCTGCACAGACCCTCCCCCAGCCCCACTGAGTCCCCGCTCCGCCGGGGGCGGCATGGCGCCTCCCCCGCTGCGCCCGCCCCTGGAGAACCTACTGAGCAGAGGGCCCTCCCCAGCCGCCTGCCCCCAGGCCCGGAGGTGGTCTGTGCTTCCTGGGGGCCGGGCTGGGGAGGGCTGTTGGGACCGAGTCGAACTCTTGTCCCCGCCCGCTGGCGTGGCTCAGTGGTTGAGCGTCGACCTATGAACCAGGAGGTCAGGGTTCGATTCCCGTCACGGCACAGGCAGTGGTGGGCTCGATCCCCAGCTGATCCCTGATGCTCTCATCACTCATGTTTCTCTCACTCCCTCTCCTTCTCTCCGGCATCAATGAAAACACATTTTCTAAAAAAGAGAAATCTTGTCTCTTGGAGGCCACAGCGACTCCTGGCTGCCAGCCTGCCCTCCCGCATCCGGCCTGCCAACCCGCTCTGGTCTCTCCCCGGCCCCGGCGGCGACCTTTCCGAGCGGCAGCATGGGGAGGGAGCACGGGGAGGCAGCACGGGGAGGGAGCACGGGGAGGCAGCACGGGGAGGGAGCACGGGGAGGGAGCACGGGGAGGGAGCACGGGGAGGACAGCACGGGGAGGGAGCACGGGGAGGGAGCACGGAGAGGGAGCACGGAGAGGGAGCACGGGGAGGGAGCACGGAGAGGGAGCACGGGGAGGGAGCACGGGGAGGCAGCACGGGGAGGACAGCACGGGGAGGGAGCACGGGGAGGGAGCACGGGGAGGCAGCACGGGGAGGGAGCACGGGGAGGCAGCACGGGGAGGGAGCACGGGGAGGCAGCACGGGGAGGGAGCACGGGGAGGCAGCACGGGGAGGGAGCACGGGGAGGCAGCACGGGGAGGGAGCACGGGGAGGCAGCACGGGGAGGGAGCACGGGGAGGGAGCACGGGGAGGGAGCACGGGGAGGCAGCACGGGGAGGGAGCACGGGGAGGCAGCACGGGGAGGACAGCACGGGGAGGGAGCACGGGGAGGACAGCACGGGGAGGGAGCACGGGGAGGACAGCACGGGGAGGCAGCACGGGGAGGGAGCACGGGGAGGCAGCACGGGGAGGGAGCACGGGGAGGCAGCACGGGGAGGGAGCACGGGGAGGCAGCACGGGGAGGGAGCACGGGGAGGGAGCACGGGGAGGACAGCACGGGGAGGGAGCACGGGGAGGGAGCACGGAGAGGGAGCACGGGGAGGCAGCACGGGGAGGGAGCACGGGGAGGGAGCACGGGGAGGGAGCACGGGGAGGGAGCACGGGGAGGGAGCACGGAGAGGGAGCACGGGGAGGGAGCATGGGGAGGGAACACGGGGAGGGAGCACGGGGAGGGAGCACGGGGAGGGAGCACAGGCAGCACGGGGAGGGAGCACGGGGAGGAGGGAGCACGGGGAGGGCAGTATGGGGAGGCAGCACGGGGAGGGAGCACGGGGAGGCAGCACAGGGAGGGCAGTATGGGGAGGCAGAATGGGAAGGCAGCACGGGGAGGGAGCACGGGGAGGCAGCACAGGGAGGCAGTACGGGGAGGGAGCACGGGGAGGGGCCGCCGGGGCTGGGGGCAGAGAGTAGAGGGGAGGACACCCTTAGAGCAGAGCGGCCTCGGGCACGTGGTAAACTGAGGCGGCAGGCCGGGGAGCACCTGTGTGGGAATCTGACGGGAAGGCCTTGAGGAGAAGCAGGGCTTCCTGTGCAGGGGCCGGAGGAAAAGCGCCAGGAAGCCGAGGGCAGGAGGGCGGCCGGAGCGGAGACGGGCTCCGGGGCCCCGAGGC